ATGAATGAATATACATGAGCCATGGACACTTGCTAGGCCCTGAGACCCACAGCCTAATTAATGAGCCAGTACTGGACACTTCCCTGTTCAGCTCTCAGAAGCGCAGCTACTTCATGACTCCATTTCTCCTTCCCAGTCCAATGGGAGTGGGAAACTCAGGAATGCCTACAACTCTTTCTCCAACCTAGGACAATGGGGAAGGAGAATGTGGATGTGGCTGCAAAGAGTCCCCTGCCCTGCCCCATTTTCCAGGCCCAGCCACATACTTACTTGTCCCCTCATTTCAGTAGCTGGCAGAGAGTCATAATTGAATTTGCAGTAGGGCTGAGAATGAAAAAAGCAAACGCTTTACATGTCTGGAGTTAATTTATTCCTGATGATGGCCACATTCACACGCTCTTTCCTGACTGAGTTTCCAGAGCCGACAATGTGAAGCGCGTGCGCGCTCACACACACAAAGGGGGAGAGCAAGCGAGACCCAGCACATGCTCAGACCGCCTGTTGCTTCCCTGCTGGTGCCCAGATCTGCCTGTGACCAAGTCTGAAAGTACTAAGTGTGTCTTGGGGTAGTCTGCGCATGCCCGGGTGTAGCCATCTGCCTGAGGGGGTCTGTCTTCAGAGCTGGCGAGTTGTGCCTTAGGGGTGACTCTGAGCCAGCTCACCAGAAGGTAGCCTATGGAATAAGGTCATGCTCTTGGCTGAGAAAGGAACACCCAGAGTGGTCATTGAGATGTGGCAGAGTGGTGGGCATTGCTGGGACATCAGGTAGTGACATACAATGCTCCTTCCTCATACTCAAAGGGAAAGCTTAGGCCTTCTTGCACAGAGACGCATCAGCATTGCCCGGCACTGGAGGAATCTTCCATGGAGGGAAGCCATCCCCCTTGTTCTGTCTTCCACACGCTGTCTTCCACAGAGCACCTCTTAGATAGGCTCATAGCAGGTAATCACCACATTTGGAGGGAAAAACTATCTGCATTGCTGTATTTCAGACCAGAAACACAGCCTAGAGGTCAAGGGACTTCCCTCCAAGTCTCCAACCTGAATGGCAAGAAGCAGGGCTTAGACTGCTGTGTATCTAATTCTTTAACCACTCCCCAAGCAGCTAAGCAGAAGCCTGTCAGGCTGGGAATCCTTTTCGTAGGCTGAAGAAGCTTTTGCTCCTAGAAATGCATCTGCTACACGTCATGTGAGTTTGGGTCCCTGGGTTTGGGAGTGCTCCCAAGCAGACATTTCCACTTCCAAGGAGGTACAAGAGTGCGTGTCCCCAGAGTTTCAGTGGTACTGTCCTTCCACCTCCTGTCTTTGCCCCTCCTCTACTTCTCTGGGAGCAAGCTTGGATGAAAAATGCCTTCAGGAGGAGAAAAAGCAAATGACAAAGAGAGAACACACGCCAGCAGATATTTTAGACATTTTTATTACACCTGGTATGTGCCAGTGACTTCTTTGTGTATTTTTGTTGTTTGGGGTTTTTTTCCTGTTGTTGTTGTTGTTTTCCATTTGTTCTTGCTCAATCCTTTTGAAAAGATCCCAGGACTTGTCTGCTGAATGCAACATTGGAAAGGAAGAGCCTGAGCTAAGTTGGGGCACAGGTAGGCTCCTAGGGGACCCTGAGCCTGTCAGGAGAATGAACCTGACAGGAGAATGAGGAATGTTGACACTGGGGAAGGCATTCTGCCCCTCTCCAGGCAAGTATGCACCAGGCAGCCCGGGGAGCACGGAGGATCCTCAGAGCTTTGCCACTGTGACCTGAGCAGAATCCAATAGCAGGCTTGCTGGGCTCCTTGGCAGAGTATGGGTGGTAATCTGGGGGTTGTGGTATAGAGTGTTGTTTCTTCCTCCTCCCCTTGGGGAGGAGGCAGCCTTGGGAACCCATGGAGATGGCAGAATGAATCCGGTTCTGTCACGGACAGAACAAATACTCCAGCCATCTTGGTCTCTTTCCTGTGGCTATTGCCACCATCTTTCTCCCTCTGGTCCTTGCTATCAACTGTTTCTCTCTATATGTAACTCATCTGTTAGCTTTCTTTTGCACAAACCCACACTCATATGTGAATGAACACACACACTCACACATACCATGACGAACTGAGCCCAATACAAAGACCACTGCCTTTGGTCTGAGGCCACACTAGACCAAGCCTTAGGGAACAGGACTGAAGCTACTTTCCCAAAGGAAAGAACAAAAACAAATGGATAAAGGTATGGTGAGGAGAAAAGCTGTCATTACTCACTTCAATACTGCTCAGGGCCAGGGGCAACGAACGGACTTGGTGTGTCCCGTGAACCCTTGCCATTACCAACAGGAAATGTCTGCTAAGCTGTCACCAGCTCCCAGGCAGGGGATGCCCACCTGCCCCCTGGAAATCTCCTAATCCTGTATTTATGAAACACATAGAGAGAGGATTGAAGCAAGTTTGTGTTCCCTGGGGGTAGGGGCAAAAAAGGGAGGGGCATGGCGGGGGCAGCTGGGGCTTGGGTAGGTAGCTCTAGCTCCCTGTCACCCTACCCTGAGCTGTCCATTTGAACCCAGAAAGGAACAGAAAATGGAGCATGTGTGTATGTGTGTGTCTGTGTGTGTGTGTCTGTGTGTGTCTGTGTGTATGCATGTGTGACTCTGTGCCTGTGTAGAATTTCCCTCCAAATTAGCAGAGATAACAAAGACAGAAAACTGAGCATTCTAGACACAAAAGGCTTATCAAGTTTTACTGAATCATTTTTTAACAGAGGAGATTTATTCTCTACCTTGCTGCCAAAATTGGTCTCAAATGTGAACTAACTGAATTTTGTAACATAAAATCCATTTGAAATGGCTCTGAGGGCCTGGCTATTCAGAGAACTTAGAGTAAAACACTTAAGTCCTTTTGGTGAAAGAAGCAGACAGCTCATTAAGGACTGAGATATGACTTCAGCTCACAAGCATAGGTTGGGGAGGGACAGACGCCTAAGTCAAGGATCTCTGCAGCAGCACTAAGAAGCACGATGATCGGAGAGCGGGGATGGGGCCCCAGGGAGGCCAGAGGAGAGCAGAGAAAATGCAAAGGAAAGCTGGGAAGGCAGGAGAGGTAAGCAGGACAGGCTGGGTCTAGCTTCCTTCTGGGGCAGTGGAGGACCCTGATAAGGACAGTCCCTGGTGGAGGGCAGGGATCAGAGAGCAGAGGACAAAGGCAGAAAGTAAGGCCGGCTTGCAGGACCTGATCCTGAGAGGAGGTACTGACAGTGGACTGAGAAGCAGTCTGCTCTGGAAGATTCAGAACCAGCATGTGATGATGGAGCACAGAAGGCAGGCAAGACTGAAGGATACGTTCCACATTGCAACTCCAGAGACTGGGGAAGAGCAGTTCAGGGGTAGCAGTGGGAGAGGGAGATTGTGGCCAGAGAAAGCCATTGGAAGTGGAGCTACAGTTCAAGTAGTAGGGTTCATGCATGCCTTGAGTACAAAAGCTTAGGGACAGCACAGAGAGAGAAACGGAGGGAGGGTGGAGAGAGGAGAGAGAGTACTTTTAAGTTGTAGGGGGAAATGTGGAATCACTAGTAGATAAACAGCTAAAGTACCTCAGCTCCTCTGAGGCTAGCCTGAGATTCTAGGGCCATTCCCTTCTGGGGAGCAAATGAGCAGGTGTCACTGTCTGTGAGATTTGCATTGAGATCAAGGACCGAAAAAGAGGCTGGAGACACTAGAAAGCCACGGAGATTGAGAAGGCCAGGCCACGGAGAGAAACCCCAGCAACCAAAAACAATGGAAACTAAGGACTAAGTTTGTCAAGAAGTGCGAGTCCCTGCTCCAGCTGCTGAAAAGAGTCATGCGCAACCAGGGTCCCGAGAAACAATCAGGGCCAGACGAAGCCCCTGGGTGAATTAGGAAAAGGTGGCCTCCTTCTGCAGGTAATTTACTTCTATCAGAAAACTACTGTAACACACTGGTTTTATTAGAACAAAACACTTTGCTGCCATCTGTGGGAAAGTTATTATAATAAAGAATAAGCATATGATGTCTTAGATGTGGTGGCGATGCATGGCTGCTCTGGTTTTTGGTGACAGCCATAAAAACAGGTTTCAGAGAGAGAATGAAGTTCACCAGTGAGGTAACATATGACCAACTAAAGGTGGCTTGAACAGTCAGGGATTTATGACCTGCATCACAGACATATGGTGTAGAGGACATGTGGCTCGGTTCTCTCGCCAGAGTTTTTTCTTCAGCAATGATTAGCTCCTTGTCATTCATTCTACCATCCTTTTTGTGTTGACTTTTACGGTTTTGTATTGACTTTCTTCCCCAGCCTTGTCCCTTCAGGGTCACAAAGTGGTTGCCACAGTTCCAGTCATTATATTTTTCTCCACAAATTTAAGAAGCAAAAGATGACTATGAATCTCCTTCTGTGGTTTTGTTGAGGACAGATCCTTCTTAGAAATGTCTCAGTTCCATGCCATCCCCTCATCCAGTCTTAACATGTTGCATCCATATCTTCTTGACCAAGCCAGTGACATACCTCTTGTTAGACCAAGTCAGTCTCAGTACATGCTCCAGACCTGCCTCATACACAGTATTCCCTTGCCATCCACTCTCCAGTCTCCCCAAGTTTTGCATCATGACCTATAGAATCCCAGGGAACAGTTTCAAGCCCAGCCCACGTTTAGACTGAAGCCAAAGCTGGAAGAGGCAGAGCAAAGAGACAACACATGCCTGGATAGAGAGGAGAGAAGGCAGAGGCTGCTCACCTCAAAGTCTCCCCTTAGATCCTGACTGCTTCTACCTCCAAAAGACTATACCAGAAATGCTCGCACCCCACCTGCACCCCAACTTACCTACACACAGCCCCCTACAGTCACCCTTGTAGACACACATAGACCAATAGCCACTCTGGTTCAGGATGCTTTATACGGAAATACATACAAGCTGACACAAAAGGGGAGTTGGGGGAGGAGATGACAGTGAAGCTCCAAGGCAGCACCTCTGGAGTCTGTGTGAGTCCCTCCATCCACCTGCCTGGCAGGACCCTCAGTGGAAGGAGGAGCAGGCCAGTCCTGAGACCAGAGGGCAGCCGGCGCCCCCGTGGCCAGCGCGGGGAGGTCCTCAGCTGAAGGGTTTCACCAGCTTCATGGCAGCATAGTTCTAGGGGAGGAAGGAGGCGGGGCATGCGGTGATTCCTTCAGGGCAGGCACAGCCCAAGTGGTTATCCTGGGGCTGCAGGGGCTGAGCTGCAGGCAGGGGGCTGGGACAAGAGACTCAGGGCCCTTCCTCCCCCAGCCTGCAGCCAACCCTACCACCTCCTGCCCTGTTTCTAGATTGAACACTCCACCTACAGGTTCTGCGACCAATTAGGGGAACCTGCTCCCTTCTGGAATTGCTCACACCTGCCCATCTTGATCAGTGCTGCCTAGGTTGCTCCTAATTCAGCCCCTCACCCAGCCAGCGACCAAGGAGGTTGTAGTCACCCAGGGCCTAGCCAAGGGGAGCCTGCCCTGCCTGGTTTCAGGTATGAATGGCCAGGCCATGATCCTCCTCCCTCCACTCCCACATCCACATATGCACACCCAGGACCTATGCTCACCAAGCTCTTGTCCAGAGAAAGAGAATGAAAAATGAGAGAGAGAGAGAGACTTGGACTTGGGTTGGGGGGTGGGATACAGGCATAACCATGCTGTAGGCTAGCAACAGAGATGGTCCCCCTTGATCAAGCCCTGTCTGCTGTAGGACTGACAGGAACCTCTCCTCCCTCCCTGCTACTCCCTCCAAAACACCATGAAAACATACACAACACAACACAGGGCTCCTAATTGGGACAGCATGTTCCCCAGCGCCGGCCTGGGGAAGCCAACCCTGGAAACAAAGCCGGCCTCCTTCCTCGCCAAATCGCCTCCCGCCTCCCCATGCTGGCCCTGCTCCCAGCTGGCAGGGAGGGCAGAGCTGAGAGGAATCAGACAGGCTGCCCCTCTCGTCCACCCCCTCCCAGGGGAATGTCCAAAAGGGTAGGGGATGAGGCTGACTGGAGGGAAGCAGCTCCACCTGGGGCCCCTCTGCCCTGGATCTGGCTTGGGGCAGCTGGAAGAGACTCTCTACCTCTGCCTGAAAGGCAGGGGATGGGACTAGCCCCACCCTACAGGTGTGGGCCAGGCCAGGTAAGTGCATTACTTCAGTGGAAGGCAGCAGCATTCCCTCCCAGACTGTGATAAAGCAAATGAGCAAACAGTCTATAGCCTTAGGATCCGTCCCCAGCACGCCCAGGCTGAGAGAGGGAACTTCCGCAGGGTCAGCATTTAGAGGGAACAATTGCCAGACAACTGAAAGGAGGCCCAGAAAGCAGGGGAAGGACTCTGGCCAGGACTCCAGGGGGGCTATTCAGCCCCTGCCCACAGGACCCAGAGCTAAAGCTACCCCCAGGGAAGAAGAAGAAAGACCACAAGTAGGAAAGGACTGGAAATCTTCCCTTTTTCCAATTGGTTCACAGAGGCTCCTTCCCTAGGCCCTTGAAACCTAGGTCTGCCACCAAAGGACTCCACAGGATGAGGGGGCCCAGCTGGCTAGGGGCTGAGTCAGGTCTAGGTGCTTGGTGGTTGTGATGTTATACACTCTGCCTTCCCCAGGGCTCAGGAGGAGGCATCAGGAGAAGGACTGAACCACAGGTGTCTAGGACAGGTGAAGAATCAGTCACAGAAGACGGAAGCTGACACCATCCAGCCCTCTCTGAATGTACATGGGAAGGCCTTGCCTAGGTCATACAACAAGTCACAGCCAGCGTTCCTGAGTTCAAAGCTCTATCTTGCACAGGGTGTGAACTCCAACATTATGAGATCCAAGAATGGATCCTGCCTCAGGAGACTGGGGCCCAGGCCAGGACTCTGCATTCTAGAAGTTCCCTGGGGATGCTGATACTGCTGGGCCTCAAACTACACTGAGAAGAGTGGGAAACTGTCTGTCCTTCGATGCTAAGCCCCTCCCCCCTGTGCGGATGGAATGCTTCACTGCGAAGGGCAGTTGTTCTTATTCTCTGGTGTCAGTGCCTCCCAGGAGACCTAGAGTTATCTGGGGCACAAGCCCCATCATCACCCCCTGGTGCTTGGGGTTTTTACTGTGAAAATCAGCTTATCAAGGGAATGATGTCACCAATCTCTCTACTTTTATATAGCTTTGAAACGCTCTTGTTAGAACATTTGTTTTCATCGTTACGTGAAAATCCAGGTGTTAGACTGAAAATACACAGAACCCTTCAAGGGCCGAGAGCACCAGAGACCCTGGCGGACTGGAGTACCGTCATTTCATGGTCCCTGTTGAGCTGTGAAAGGCAGGGGACCACAGGCAGGGAACAAAGACCTGTGCTCCACTTCTCTAGACAGGGCCCCATGGAGCTGTGGCCCAACAGCTGTAGCTGGGGTGGCTCTGGAAACCCTGCTGGGCTCTTTACCAGGTGTCTCTTGGCTTCTTACCAAGTATGTACTATGCCAAGGAGTGGGTCTTGGCCAAACCCCTTTGGTTCTCCACAGTATGAATCTCCACCCTCTCCAGGCCCACCTAAGACTTAGCAAGTCTTGTCACCAAGACAGAGGGGCTGTCACCCCTCCGGTGCCAGCCACTTCCCTTCCTCCACCTCCCTCGGGAGACTCCCTAGACCTCCAGCCCCAGGAGTCTTGCTTCTTTAGACCCTTTTTTTTTGGGGGGGTGACAGTCCTAAGGCTTGAATTTAGGGACTGGGTGCTGCCCCTGAGCTTCTTTTGCTCAAAGCTAGGGCTCTACCATGTGAGCCACAGCTCCACTTCTGGCTTTTTTTTTTGGTGGCTAATTGGAGATAAGAGTCTCACAGGTTTTTCTGCCCAGGACGGCTGTGTGCCCGGCTCATTTCTCAACCCTTTGACTGCACATCTTCGGGGCTTACTAAAGATTGCTAGGTCACCTTGTCAAGGTCAAGAACTCTTTTCCCCGTGGACTACAGGTTCTAAGTGTTGAGTATTGTCTCCTTGCCAGAGTGTGGACTCTCAGAGTAGGATCAATATCTCCTCATCCCAGGGACTCCCCCAGAACAGGTTATGTCGCCATCAGACTGAAGAAGGCTCTTGAGAACAAGGAGGATGGGCTCCCCCATTAGACCACGAGTTCCCCCGGTCAGCCTCTGCCTCCCCAATCAGTCCTGCTCACCGGGAAGGCATAAACGAAGATACCCAGGAACAGCAGTAGGATGAAGAGAATGATGAAGAGGATGATGGCACACCGGAAGCGTCGCCACAGGATGAACTTCATTGTCTTGTATGGGGAGGTGAACCATAGGAAGGAGGTATCAGGACGCCTGAAAGTGACATCCCAGAGGTTGGTTAGTCTCCTTTCCAGGGCTGCTTTCTCCCAACCCTACTCTCAGCCTAGGGACAACAAATAGCCCCACTCCCCACATTGTGATCCCTCAAGGACCTTTCCAGCCTCCATGTCCCATGTGCTACTGCTAAACTCAGCTGTCTTGACCTGCGTCTCCAATCCCTAGAGGTTCTTCTGGGTGCCACTAGACTATGCTGCCCTCCTGGTCTTGCAGTGAAATCCTGTTCCAGTCATCCTCCCTTCCTGACTTTGGACTTAATCACAAGCTACACATGGGATCCTCAAGGCTGCCCTGTTAAGTGAACAATGTCACCCTGGGCATCCTATAGGCCAAGCCATCTGCCCAAACACACATAATTCTCAGGGGGGATGGAGAGAAAGGAGCTCATAAAAATAATTCTTACTCCCAGTCAAGAACTTCTAAGCCTTTTCCTTAGTCAGCACCACAATTCCATTAATAGCAGAACTTTGTGTCTCAATCGAGGCCAAGTTAACATCTGATTTCTCTTCCTGGGGTCTCAGGGCTTTCTCTTTTCTCTCCAGTTCCCAAAATTCTGGACTAGAACACCATGCTTCCGTGCCAGCCTCACGGCACATGGACAGCACTGTGATTACATTAAGCATGCCATAGTAGTAGGGTTGAGGGGCCCACCAAATATAGTCTTAAACCCCCAAATTATCTTTCCATGACTGTCCAAGGAACTGCAAAGAATGGTCCTCTGGCTTGGTTGGTCTATCACCCTAAAGGCCCTTGGTGTAATGAAGATAGGCAACAGTTTCTGCATTTCATAGACAACATTAAGGTCGAGAGGTCATTTGAAAGCCACCTTGGTAGCAGCACAGAAAGTATAGGTGACTGGGAAGACTGATCAGACTCCAGAGCAGGTGAGAGAACTTCTGCTTCCTGTCTCTGGGATTAGAATGACCTTACATAACTTGACTGAGATTGTTTCTTCATCTATAAAAGGAGGATAAGAATTACTCCTCAGGGAGGGCTCCCAAGCACAATGATACATCATATGCCCTATGACAGCATGTATGCCACAAAGCCAACAGGCATCCATTAAAGCCTGCTTGAAATAGCTGAGGAGCCCAGCACCTCCCAAAAGGGTGCCTATCGCCTGCTTCTCTCTGAGCCATGTGGGCCTTAGAGACTAGGGGCAGGAACTAACCTTGGATCCTCCAGTTTCGGATTCATATTGGGCTCATCCCGTCCCTGGCCAGCAGGCCGTTCTTCATGCTCGCTCTCTGCGACAATCTCCAAGGTCATTTCCAACTTTCCCTGTGGACATAACATGGTGAGGGCCTCTGCCCAGTAACCTGAAGAGAAGCCAGGCAAAGACAAACCTAAAAGCCATGTGACTATTATTTTTAAGATGTAGGATTGTCCTCATTCTGTATTCTTTACAGAATATTTAGAAATGACAGAAATGTCTAAAGAAGACCACCGCCCACACTTCCACAATGTGGAGAGCAGCCCTGCTATGTTTCTATCCATCACAGCTGAATGTATGAAATGTCATACTGGATATTTCATTCTATAGCTTGCTTTTTCATTTAGGAATATATTTCATTAGATAATTAGATATTCTTTCAAGTTATGTTTCTAATGACTGTAAAACGTTCATTCCATGGTTGGTTAGCCATAATTTACTTAGTAAACTACTTATTTAGGTTCATTTAGGTTGATTCCAATTCTTTGATATTATAAATAGTGCTACAATAAATATCCCAGAAGCTAAATTTTTAATTTTATCTGGTTATTTCTTTAGAAGAGAATTTAGAAGTAGGGGATAGAGTCCAAGGGCATAAAAAAATCTCGTTAAATCTCTCATTATATGTTACCAAATTGCCTCTCCACACAGTGAAACCACTAATGCTCCTTGCAGAAGTAAATGAGGTCTGTCTCTCTGCATCCTCACCCCACATGAATAGTTCTATTTTTTTTAATCTAATGTAATAGACCACAAAAAATCACCCTTAATTACTAGAGGGAATAACCCTCTTTTTCACATCTAATGGGCTTTTGTACTTCTGTGAATTATCTGTGTATGTCCTTTGCTTGTATTTTTTCTTTAGGGCATTAAGTATTTCTTATTAATCATTACAGTTCTTTATGGAATAAGAATATTTTATTTCAAGGGCCATTTTAGAATTGGCTGACTATATGCTATTTCTAGGAAAACACCCAAAAAAATAACTTCCTCTCCAGGCTGCTCTGGACTGAAGAAAGGAAGTTCCTCCAGTCTCTTAAGCAGACTTCTCAGCAAGAAGAAAATAGGCCTGAGAGTCCTCTTCAAATGGGAATGCAAAACCTCTGCCTAGACACTAGTAATCCCAGATCACAGGAGGACTCAGAATGGATCCCTAGCATTCCATTTAAATAGGCTCCTCCTTGGATGTGACCTCCTGAGAGAGGAAGGCTGGGAAGAGGGCATGGGGGAGAGAAAGAATGTCTTGGAAAGTCGGGAGAGGGAGAAGGGCAGAATAGTGCATGGGCATATGCCTGCTGAATGCCATAGAAGAAACTACCCAATGCCTTCTACCAGGCCTGGAGGGAGCTAACTTACCGCCAAGATCCTCTTTTCTCCCTCTTCTGCTACACAGGGCCACCAGCCCTTCACCGTCTTCTGCTCAAAAAGGGACACAAACCATTCTGGGTGGAAAGTGTCATCTAGCTGATCCAAGGAGCATTTCTCAGCCGTCTTGGCTGGCTTGGGCATGTGGTTGAGATCTAGCTGCAGGGAGCCTGTGACACAGAGGTGTTCTTTAGCCAAGGATGCCTTAATCACTGCCAGCCTGGGGGAGGTAGGTTCAACCCTGTGGCAGGCAGGTTCAAGAAAAACTTTCATCTCCTCAGCTTCTAGCCATGGCTTAGCTGTGGGTCAGGTTCAACAAAGTCACCATTTCCTGTTCTCTCCACACAGCTTCTCAGCCATCTACCCAGGCACTTTATGCCCATTTACTCACCATAATGACCTCCCTTAACGAAGTCACCCACCTACCTCTGTATACAAATGCACTCACACTTCCATTGTCCAGATACATCTAGCCACCAATTTTTTTTTCAGTTGTGGGGCCTGAACTCTGGGCCTGGGCGCTGTCCCTCAGCTCTTCAGCTTAAGGCTAGCACTCTACCACTTGAGCCACAGTGCCACTTCCAGCTTTTTCTGCTTATGTGGTGCTGAGGAATCGAACTCAGGACCATGCATGCAAGGCAAGCGCTCTACCACTGAGCCACCTTCTTAGCCCCTACCCACCAATTTTCTTTCTGTTTTATGTTTTTTTTATTAATATATACTAACACAAAGAAAGAGGATTTGTGATGACATTCCATACATGCATATAACATACTTAAATCATACTCATCTATACCCTCTAATTTTTAAGGTATTTTTATAATGATAGTATCTATCACAAAATTTATCATTTTAGCCATTTTTGAATGTACAATTCAATGGTACCAACTACAGTCACAATGTTTTCATTTAGTAACTCTAGCTATTAAACAACAGTCCTTACCACCTCTCCCCTCAGCCCCTGGAAACCTGTATCTTACTTTCTGACACTATGAATTTGCTTCTTATAAATATTTCATATAGGGAGGGGGGAGGCTGGGAAGGGATGGGAAGGGTAAACAAAGGAGGAGGCTGCAATGCTTGGTAAGAAATGTACGCATTATCCTGCCCATGCATGTAACCCCTCTGTACAGTATGTTCACAAATAAAATAAAATAAAATTAAAAATAAATAAATAAATAAATATTTCATATAAGTAGAATCAAATTTGTCTTCATGTATCCAGTTCATTTCACTCAGCATAAAGTTCATCCACAATGTATGTCAGCAATATTACTTTCATGGCTGAATTATCACATGTACATAGCACATTTTATCTATCCCTTCATGCGTTGATGGACACTTGAGTCCCCTGCCCCTTTTTCTCTGGGGCTTGAACTCAGGGCCTAGGTAGTATCCCTGAGTCTTTTTGTGCTCAGGGATAGCACCCTACCACTTGAGCCACAGAGGCATTTCTGGCTTTTTCTGCATAGATTATTGAAGATAACAGTCTCACAGACTTTCCTGCTGGGTCTGGCTTCAAACCACAATCCTCAGATCTCAACCTCCTGAGGTTGAGATAGGATATAAGCATGAGCCACACATGTCTGGCTAACTTGAGTCCCTTTTACTTCTTTTTTTTTTTTTCTGGCCCAGTCCTGGGGCCTGAACTCTGGGCCTGGGTGCTGTCCCTCAGCTCTTCAGCTCAAGGCTAGCACTCTACCACTTGAGCCACAGCACCACTTCCGGCTTTTTTTCTTTTTGCTTATGTGGTGCTAAGGAATCGAACCCAGGGCCTCATGCATGCAAGGTAAGCACTCTACCACTGAGCCACCTTCCCAGCCCCACCCCCCTTTTACTTCTAACTGTTGTGAATAATGCTGCAGTGGTTTTTAGTGATTTGGGATAGACACCTAAAAATACAGTTTCTGGGTAATATGTTAACTTTGTGTTCAACTTTTTGAGGAGTCATCAAGCTGTTTACCTCAATGGCTTCATCATTTTACAACCTCACCAATGATGCATATGTGTTTGAGTTTCACAACATCTTCACCAACACTTGTTATATTATTAGCATTGCTGTTCTGGTAGTTTGAAGAACTTCCTGTGACTCATTCATCAGTCTCTCCCATCTACCAACTTAGTCTTCCAAACCGTGATCGTTTTATATTGTTCCATCTTATCAACTTAAAGGCCATCATTTTTTTTCTTTTCAATTCCAACCATTAGTTTAAAACATGAAAATGCATGTACTTTTTGTCTTTGAGTTTTTGACCTACAAAAAGAGCAATCCTACGTGGTTTCACCTAATCCAAGGACAATAATGTAGTAGAGTCAATGCCTCTGGAATACAGGTTACTGAAGTGATTAAGTGAGAAAGGTAAACTTTTTAAAAACTGTTTTCTGAGGCCAAATTAAGGAAATCCTTGAGCACTGTAGAAAGGAGCCTGGATTTCTTCAATATACAATGCTCAGTTACTGCAGTTGAGCATTGGATCTATTATTCTCTAGTTTAATTGCCTTCTATATGCATTCATCTTCTTCAACTTTTTCCATAACCTTACATAATTACTACTTTTGAACATTAATAGTTATGACCCCTTTGATCCATTTGTTCAACTCTACATCCCCATTCATCTATCTATCCACTTACATTTCCCTCCATCCAATGCAAATAAATGTTAATTCTTCACTTAAACTATGATCTCAATATATTAATTAATTATGACTGTGTACCCACTAAGAAATAATCTTTAGCCCAGTGCCAGTAGCTCATGCCTATAATCCTAGCTATTCTAGAGGCTGAGATCTGGAGATTGTGGTTCAAAACCAGTCAGGGCAGAAAAGCCTATGGGATTCTTATCTTCAATTAACTACCAAAAAAAGCTGGAAGTGGAGCTGTGGCTCTGATGATACAGCACTAGCTTTAAGCAAAAAAGCTCCAGGATAGTGCCCAGGCCCTGAGTTCAAGCCTTAAGTCTGGCATGAAAAAAAGCAAGCAAGCAAGAAAGAAAGAAAGAAAGAAAGAAAGAAAGAAAGAAAGAAAGAAAGAAAGGAAGGAAGGAAGGAAGGAAGGAAGGAAGGAAGGAAGGAAGAAAGAAAGAAAGAAAGAAAGAAAGAAAGAAAGAAAGAAAGAAAGGAAGGAAGATGGAAGGAAGGAAGGAAGGAAGGAAGGAAAGGGGAGGAAGGAAGGAAAGGGGAGGAAGGAAGGAAAGGGGAGGAAGGAAGGACAGAAGGAGGGAGGGAGGGCGGGAGGGCGGGAGGAAAGATCTTTATTCACTTCAGCCCCTAGAAACCTACATTTTGTCTCTAGAATTTTGTTTATTTAATCACACAGAGACATATACATACATTGCACACACATAACACATTCATATTGTCCTAACATGATGTACATAATACTGTAAGGAAACAGAATTATATCTGGGTGGTAAGATTATAAATTCTTAATTATTTCCTTTGAAAATCCAAAAAGTAATAAATATTCAACAGATACAAGACAACTATAAACATAGTATAAAGGTGGAAAAGAAACAAAAAGGTAGTTTTTATTAGTGGTTTATTAAGTTTGATTTTGTGTGTGTGTGTGTGTGTGTGTGTGTGTGTGTGTGTGTGTGTCCTTGTGTGTATGAGTCTACTGATCCTGGTGCTTGAACTCAGAACCTGGGCACTGTCCTTGAGCTAGGGCCCTACCACTTGAACCACAGCTCCATCTCAGGCTTTTTAGTGGTTAATTGGAGATAAGAGTCCCATAGACTTTTTTGCTACCTTCAAACTTTGATCATCAGATCTCAGTCTCTGAAATTGCTAATATTACAGGCATGACCCATTGGTGCCTGGCCTTAAGTTTGATTTTTAAAAACAAAGGATGAGCCTGTTTGTCTTTATTTTGAATATTGCTTACTCATTCAGTAAAAATGCAATTTCTTTGTTTTTCTTTAGAAAATTAGATTTCTAATGCCTCATTCCATAAGGAATAGATTGATGCCAAAAAATTTAAGTCTGTAAATGAAAGATTTCATAAAAATTACCAATTAAGCCTGGCACAAATGGCTCATGCCTGTGATTACAGGCTACTCAGGAGGCTGAGATCTAAGGTTCAAAGCCAGCCCGGGCAGGAAAGGCTGTGAGACTCTTATCTCCAATAAACCACCAGAAAACCAGAAGTGGCACTGTGGCTTCAGTGACAGAGCACTCGCCTTGAGCTGAAGAGCTGAGGGACAGCACCCAGGCGCAGAGTTCAAGAGAAAAAAATTACAAATTAAATAAAAAAGGAGAGAAATTATTTGCAACATGTTCTCAATATATAAAATGCACTGAAAACCAATAATAAAAAAGAACATCCCCAAACCATGATTTTAAAAAGCTTACCAATAGTAAGAATAATATATACTAATAAATAATAATAAATACAAATTTAAAGTAAAATGAAATATGCTGTTGGAATTTTTTTAGTGTAACAGTGATAGTAAAGGTTTAGGGAAAATGACACCCTTGTACAAACAATACACACAGGTAGAAATGTTAACAAGTACAACCTTTCTGAAAAAAAGTTGAATAAAATATTTCAAAGTCATGAAAATGCACAAACTCTAACTAATCAACTTCTTAAAGTTAAGGGAAGTTATGGGAAATAGGCCCAAAGATGTATGCCTGGGGTGTTGCATCCAAAAACCTAAAGACATCTTGAGCATCCACTACTGCCACGAGAGATAAAGTAAGCTAAGCTCAACAGGACATGTCTGCCTGATGGACCATCAGGCTAGCTTCAAGTGCAGTGATAGAGAGGTCATAGTAGACAGATATCTGCTGACCAGGATGCTCGTGAAATACTAAGTTCTCCCCAAATCAGGATATACTAACTACAGTACTAAATAATATGTGGATGATGTCATATATGTATGACACATATAAAATTCCTATATGATATATATGTAAATGCCTTTATATCTGGAATAATAAATAATTGTATATGCTAAGATGTTCATGGAGGTTATCTCTGTGTGGTAACATGAATGGGGAGAAGTATGACTTTTATCCACATTTGTTCTAATATTCTATAGGAGTCCTATATAGAATAATAAGTAAAGTAATACAATTCATATCTGGTGGCACTGTTTTCCTGGAGTCTTTTACAATGAGTCCTGCAGTAGTTTTGTTCTATGACAAGACAGGGTGGCAGGGCTGGGGACAGGAAGAGCAGCCTATGCTCCTCAGAACCCCTCTACAGGCCACGGGCTCAGCTAGAACCAGCTCCTTTTTCTGTTCAGTGATGGTGCAGTCATCTGTCTAAAGCCACCCTGTTCCCAGGTGGCCAGGGCTCCTTATTTCCTGGGCTGCCTTCCTCATGGGGTTACATTTTTTGGGCGGTGTAAACTTCATGTAACTTTAGAAATGTTAAAGTATGTAAATAAGTGGCTTCCAGAATATTCACAGAGTTTGATGAAATTTGTTTTGTCAGTTTGTTGTTGTTGTTGTTTTGGTGACACTCCTGGGGTTTGAACTCAGGGTGTGGGCACTGCCTGGGATCTTTAGGACTTTAGGCTACCGCTTGAGCCATAGCTCCACTTCTAGAATATTCACAGTAATGCAGTCTTTACCACCATCTATTTCCAGAACATTTTCATCACCCCCAAAATAGCCCTCCTGTGCCCATTAGCAGTTCTCCTCCCTCTCATGCCTCATTAATGAGTTCTTCTTCTCTATGTGTTTGCCTGGTACAGACATTTCATAGGCATGGATTTGTGTAATATATGTCCTTCCATTTGTAATCCCCCAGCACATGATGAAAAGTCACTTGATTCTAGGGGCTCCTTCTGCCTACATAGGGGTGAGGTGGAAACATCCTATCAAGCCTGAGACCTGGCAGCCATTACAACCATCACACCGGTGCCCTGGTTCAGCCTGCGCTCCATTCTCTTCCTTTCCTCCCAGAGCCCCACCATCCAGCCCAGCCTGTGGCTGATGCCATTCAAGACCATTCTGACCACTCTGACCCTGCTCTGTGTCTCATGCTTCACTCAGAGCTGGGACCTGGGTTACAAAGCCCCCTGCAGGCAGAATGCAGGCCACTCCTCCTCCCCTGCTTCTCAAACATACACACACACACACACACACACACACACACACACACACACACACAGCCCCTTGATAGGCAGCTCAGACCTGACCAGAAAGGAGGCTCACCCAGAAAATCATCAAAGGAAAACTTGTCGTTGTCCCAGATCTGGAACACCACTCGTGCTGGGATTTTGCTCTCCGTCTTGTCCAGACTCCAAAAGGCATCCTGACCCAGAGAAGGAACAGAGAATGGAGTGGACAAGCAAAGTTAGAGGCTGGGGTCTCTTCAGTCTGGAAAAGATAAATGACTGGGATATTCCCTGAGGGTCTGGCCAGAGCCAACTCCTGAAGGGAAGACTGGAAATCTAAGGCAAGTATTTTGTTCAAAGTTACAAGACAGGAAGCGGCAAGCTGAGATTCAAACCCAGGCAGTCAGGTTACAGAGGCTTGAAGCCCTGCTCTGCACAAGTGATCCTTGGTGATGTGGTAGGTTGGCTGAGAACCTGGGGGTCTCCCCCTCACCCTGGAAATAACTGTGGTCCATGATTGTAAGGAATTGGCAGTAGGACAGGAACCTCAGCAACTCCACCCCATCCCTTGCACCTCCAAGAGCCTGCCTCGGGCTGGAAGAAGGACAGGATGCTTCTTCCCAGCCTCTCCCTCACACCAGCTCCATCTGCAGCGAGGTCTTCAGAGCCACTTCCCTCAGAGGCTTCTAAGGGGTACAGGCCTGAGAGTAGCCACACTTAAAGGTCGGTCACTGAGCTTTCTTACACACACTGGTTCATTTTTTTTCTCTCACTATGGTTTGATCTGAGCAGGTAGCAAGAGAGATGAGTCTCTCTTGAGGAGTAGGCTCCATAGACTGAGGGGGCACTGCTGACAACAGGTTTTCTGGCTCTAGTTGCCCACCAGACACAGCCTTACTGTCTATCTCAGGCTGTGAGGGCTGTATGGCCACCTCCAGCCTCCATGACCAGTCATGCAGATGCTACCAAATTCCCTAACCAAATCCCTAACCAAACCCGAGGAGCACTGCCCGTGAGAGGTTCTAGTCACATCTTGGATGGCAGCCTAGATTGGTGAAGGTGCCACCCCCTTTCCAAGCCCAGCCTCTCCCCAGTCTCCTGCAGGTGTCTCCTTCCTCTGGCCAGCTTTTATGGCCAGCTCCAGGCCCGACTGGCCTGCAGGGCCGCCAGCAGCCTCCATTCTTCAGGCCAGCCTGGTTTATGGGCTCAGTAATGAGCCAGAGGTTCAAACAGCCCATAGTGAGAGCAGCTGGGAGGGGGCTCCAGTTTAAGGAATGAGCCCCCTTCCCAGGTCCCAGGCGCTCATTATGCTCCTGGCCTGGGCCCTTTTACTAGCTGTTTATTTGCAGGGTGGGTGCCTGACACACAGGCAGGCCCCGGTGGGTGTGCTGGACTCCAGGTGGGAAGCCAGCCGGGACAAGCAGCGGTGGTTCAAAGCAGCTGGATGAAAGGAGACCTTGTACTTTACGACAGTCTCGTCTGGTTAATGGGGTCCCTGGAGGGACTGCCTGCCAGAAGTCCTGAACCCCATGGCAGAGAGCTGGCTCTGCAGCAGGCCCAGGGAGCCCAGCAGCTGTTCAGTCCATTCATTAAGCCACCTCAGACCCATCCTCCAGTCCAGACTGGTTAATTGGTGCCCTGTGGGGATGGCTCCACCTGCTTCCCAGGGTCCCTTCTACCGCTGAAGTGTCCACAGGCTCTCTCACCCTCTTGGCTGCCTCCAGAGCCACCTGCGCTGTTTCAGTTACTCATTCTTCTCTTGGACCTTCTCGGATCTTCCAGCCATCCTCTTCCCAGACCTGGGGTGAGGAGGAACCTACTTTCCAAGCCGTGACTCTCCTTGACACCTTGACATCTATTTCTCCTCTCCACCCCACTCTCCTGCTGGCTTCTTCTTCAAGCCTAGTTATCACACATGGAGCCCAGCAGACCTTTTCCTTTATCCTCCATCCTCAGCCCCTGAAGCTAACTTCCTGGAGGTCACCAACTCTCCTCTTCCTTGTCAGGGCCTTCAATACAGAGACACACTTCATAGGTGCCTGAATCGAACACCCCAATTCTGAATTAGTACCGGCAACTAGGCTGCAGAACCATCAGCTAGCTATTCTCTGTGCCTCCATTCAGTCCTCTCCTCTCCTCTCTTTTGTCCCTCTCTTCCTTCCTCTTCCTCCTCCTCTTTCTCTTCCTCTTCCTCCTCTTCTCTTTTCTTTCTCTCTGTCTCTTCATAAAAGCTGTCCTACCTTTTCCATTTGTCTCAAATCACCTGCTACTGTGCCAGATTCTCCTCTGACTTTATAGAATAAACCAGGAAGATCACCTCTGACCACTCCTTGCACACCCTACCTGTCACAGAGAAAGGTTGTTCTGACTCATTTAAGCAGTCAATGTGCATCTCCCTCAGCCTCAATTTCCTCACAGAATGTGCATGATGCTTTGGCCCTCCCCTTGGCCACTCCTGGCTCTGTGCCCACAGCAGAGGTGAGGGGAGACTTATCTAATGTGGTATGTTCTACACTCTGACAATTGCAGTGTCGGCTGTGTTATGGAAACAAGCCGGTGATTAGACAAACATGACCAGCAAAGGCAAACAAGATTACAACTACAAACAGTCTAGGTTTTTCTTGACTTCACAGAATGTTGTTACTAAATTCTACTTTCTAGTGAGCATTGCACAGAAATCTCAGGATGAAAGAATCCCTAATCCTTGCTTAATCCATATTTTCCTTTTGTTTGATGGTCTCAGAGTGTTTGGTGGAACATTCTTGTTTCTCTGCTGTGCAGATGATCCTGTGTGTTAGATTGGAATGGATCAGGTGGAGAGGAAGCAATGAATTGAGAAGGATGAGGTAGGCAAATACATATGTGTATTTCCCTTAGTGAAACCACACAGCCAATCAGAAGACTTCCAGGCTGGAAGTCTAGAGCCACATTTGGATGGCTCAAGCAGAGAGGCACTTGCCCATTTAGCAGGTGGGCATCTCCTGGTGGCAATGAATGCCAGGCAGAACAAAAGTAGTTGGAAGCTCCAACAGGTCTTTGTACCACGGTTTCCTCCATTATGCTCTGGTGGCTACTTCCTAAGGGCATACCAGGTGCCCTCAGATTCCCTGTACTTTAGTGATACAAAGTTTAAAGTCTAGATGAGACTTAAGCCAGGAGATGCAAAGACACATATCCACTGATCCCCACTGATACTTACTTGTCCCCACAAGTGCCTTTAGCTCAAGCAGATTGGGTACATAACAGCAGCAATTTAGGCCTCGAAGTCGGTGTCTTACCCAGTGCCTGTCCAGATAATGACCACAGACACCAGGCACCAGACAGTTGTGGGAATCTTCTGAGCCAGAGGAGCTTAGCCAAACTACTCTCAGACCTACAGACAACCTAACCAAGCCAGCCTTTTGGGAAGTTCCCTGGCTAGGGCCAGCCCTTGGCCTATTTTTGTGCCAGTACTGAGACTTGAACTTAGAGCCTCACTTTCACTTGGCTTTTTGCTCAAGGCTCATATTTCTACCATGTGAATCAGGCCTCTATACTTCAGGCATTTTGAAAGTTAATTAGAGATGAGTCTCATGGACTTCTCTGCCTGGGCTGGCTTTGAATTTTGAGCCTCAGAGCTCAGCCTCTTGAGTAACTAGGATTACAGGCCTGAACCACAAGCATCAGGCTTCCCTTTGCCTCTTTGATGACCATAGTGTGTTCTTCTACTCTTTCCCCTCAGGCCCAAGACCATTCTTGCTGCTTGCTTTGTCTGGAATAGGGAGGAAGATAGTAGTTGTAGAATTTAGACTTAGCTACAAACGATGGCTGTGTGGCTGTAAGTGGTTGTGAGCAGCCATGACACTGGTAATGGCTATGGTGATGAAAGAGGAAGAAGAGGAAGAGTACAGAGATAATGGGGGCAGCTTTGCAGGTAATGAGAGCTGGGTGGTGGTTGTTGGGAGTGTCAACAATGATGGGGCAATGCTGGCTGTGACACTGAAAGACAGGGGACAGAGGCGGTGAGGTCTCACAGGAAAGGTAAAGTCCAGGACTGAAGGAATGCTTACCTTCTTGGCAATGGAGCAGACTTGCTCGGCCGGCAGGTAGTCGAAGGGGAACACAAACCTCCAATTGAAGTTACCCTCACCACCCAGGGAGCGATAGTGCACATCTGTCTTCTGTTTGTGCTCTTCAAAGCCCACCATCCAACTAGACATATGTTAAAGGATATTTTTCATTACATCTCTACTACAATGTTCATCTTCCAATTGGCCCAACAAGGATGACAAAGGTAAAGAAACTTAGTATGTGCTATTGTAAATAGAATTTCCAGGAAATTTCTGTGATGCACAAAATATGACATCCAATAGAGAACATTCTAACTTCTCAGAAAATGTCTGGGGTATCATCCATTTTAGCTCAAAGATGAAGGCAGAAGAGAAAATATGGTGGGAGGAGCACTCCTCAACGATACCCCACGAGATCCTCTTTCAGAGCTTCCTGTTCTCCCCTTCCCTACAGCACAACCCTCAGCGTGTCCAAGTGCACAGCAATAGCTCCCTACCCTTTCACATAAATGTCACTCATCTTCTCCCCAGTGAGGCTGAGATCATCCAGGATCACATCTTTGGTATTCCAGACAATACAACGCAGAAAAAACCTGGGGCAGAAGAGGAGAACAACGCAAATTTGCAAGCCTTGCCCACCAAAGGGTAGGACACCCTTGGCTGAGCAGTTGGCTAATTCAAGAAGACCTAGTACCCACATGGCTGGACCCTTGGCCAGGCCCAAACAAATGCTGTGCTTTAAGATGCAAATGACACAAATCCTGGCCAATGGGTGATCTCCTGGCACCACCCACAACTAGCCCAGACCCTCCAGTGTAGCTTGAACCTGTGGCTGAGCCAGTCACCTTCTGGCTTTCCGAGGAGTGATATTGAAGGGAGGTCCGGGCCGCCCCAGAGCCTTTGGAAACAGGTCGATCCACATCTGCAGCTTCCCCTGCAGAGACAGGAGTTCATTTTCATTATTCATTATCCTTTCCATTCAACCCACAGACACAGAGCATGATGCTCTGTGCCAGGCAGTTGAGACACAGACCCGAGAAAATCCAGGCCTTCTAGAAGAGGCTCATGCAGAGGGACCTTAAACAGGAAACCGTAGGGCTGATCACAGAAATTGAGCCCCTGTCCCACAAGCCATTGACTTATGCAGGCTTCTCAAAGATAGCAACCTTTGAGGCATGCTTTCGTGTGCCTGAGGATTGGTACATGCAAGTCAGTGAAGGGTCACAGAACAGGCTTTAGCTACAAGGGCTCAGAAGGACTCTATATAGAAGCCCACCTGTAACCTCTCCTCCACATCTACAAATTGGTATGAGATTACTTTCCCTATCTTAAGGAGCTAGGGTTAAAGTAACTTGGTGAAGTCACCCCTGCAAGCTGGTCCTCAAATCAGCTGCATTGATTTGGGAGGCTGGTAGCCAGGCCACCTAGTAGGGAAAGATTGCTTCTCACAAAGGCATCTTCAGGGCTCATGTTGGCCCTTCTCTTTGCCTGCAACCTCTCCTCTCCTTCTCCAAAGATCAGCCTTCTCTGGTCAGTCTCAAGCCTGCTGTCTGTTCACACTCCCCTCTGTATAAGAGGCTTCCCCTGCCTATCTCTATAGGTCTCTGCGAGTTCATCATGGAATACTGGGCCTACTCTCTAACCACTACAACCCATCACAGGGTAGAGATGCATCTGAGATAGCCACTGACCAATTCAAAAACAGGGGTATACTCTGAGGCCAGGGTGAGATAGCGGTCTTTCTAGAAGACAGATGGAAGGCAGAGGCCAGGCCTACATGTGGAGTAAGTTGCTGCTGACCTTGTTCACCAGCTCTGACGACCAGAGGTGACCATGGAGGCCAAGCCCTCAGATCCCTTCATAGGTTAGCTGTGGTGACTACCCAGACTCTGAAGATACAGGCCAAGGAAAAAAAGGCCAAATCCCTCGCAGGTCCTCTAGGTGTTCATGCTGCTTTGGGGTGGAGCTTTCTATAATTTAAGGACTCTCCAGGGCCCAGGTGGGTTCAAGATCCCACCTGCTCAATATCTGGCTGTAGCGGGCTGTAGAGGGGCCGTGATTCCACATGCTCAGGAACCAGGCCTTGCTGCTGAAGGACATGAAGAGCCAGACGCTCCTCCACTGGGCCCAGGTGTGGATTCGGGATCCTGCCAGCATCTGCCCCAAACCAAGAAAAAAGATGTGAAGTGCATGAGAGATGGCAAGGCAGCCCAGTGGGCAGATTAAGTGGACTGCTTGAGGGAAATGGGAAGCCCCTCTCCCCGACAGCCTCACCGGAGCCCAGATCCTTGCCCTGGTCCTATGTCTCCCTTACTATGAGGAAATCTTATCATCGACAGGCTTAAAATTCCTATTTCCTTATTTCCATCATTTCTTTTTTTCCATACCAGAAGGAATCCTCTGCCGAATCCCTCTGAGCAGAGGGATTCGCCGCAGACTTCCCTCAGTTACTCTTATATTGCTTCATAAACAATTATTATTTCAGCATAGTAGTAATAGAGATCTAGTGTTAGGAACCGTTATTTGGAGATTTGTCTGAAGTGAAACTATAGATCTATGAAACAAAAAGAAATAACATTCAACTTAAGACAATTTCTCTACTGCAGTAAACAGACACATTCTTACAGCAAGCTTGTTTCTAGTCATCAGCAGATGGAGACACTGTGGGACTCTCTGAGGTGGTATGGATGCCTGCGACTCCCAAGGGCTAAGAACCTGCTTTGAGCCCTAAGATTCCTAAACTGGAGGTTTCAGGTGCTTGGTGGCCACAGAAATTTTTCTATGAGCTCCACAAATCCACATGTCCAGCAACCATTACTGTACATAGAATACATATATGGCACCTGTGTGTGTTATTAGTTTTCAAATATATGTTGGTCAAGTCATTGCCATCATTTCTAACAGGGCTCTTCTAGAAACTCCTTCCTGTTTCTCATCAGTACAAATCTTCTTGTCTGTCAAAGGCCACCCCTTCCAGGAAGTCTTTCTTAGCTGCCACAACTGTGAGCTGCCACAATCTGGCTTCATGTTATTATTTCTATGCTCTGGTTCACAAAAGTCATTCCAACACTAGCTATAATAGCAGCACGAACAGAAAACACTTCCAGAATGTTCTTCATATGTATTCACACATCCAGTCCTCACAAGAACCCTAGAAACTAAGTGTTACTGATTCACCCTTTCACAGATGTGAAGCCTGAAGCATGGAGAAGCGCCACACCTGGGCAGCAGGGCAGCCGGGCTCACATGTTCACCTAGGCACAATCACATCTCTCTTCCCCCTCATGCTTCCTAGTGCAGTTCCTGCCTGCCAGGAAATGAGTTGGTGACTGAGGTCATGCATGTGGAAAAGCCTAGCCTGTCAGCCCGAAACCCAAAGCTGGAACCCCCTGTGCCAGAGGCCTTGACTTAGAGGTGATGATGGTTCAAGTCCCACTCATGTGGGCCAATGAACACCAATACAGATTTACACACACACACACACACACACACACACACACCAGACTTGCCTGACTACCAAAGAAAGGATAGAGGAAAGAAGGGTCCCAAAAGAATAAGCATGGCACTAGAGATCCAAAAATATGGCTCTGCTCCTAGCTGGGTGGTGACTTTGGGTAGGTCATTAACCACTCCTGAACTCAATAGCTTCATCTGTAAAACCAGGCTGATGCTAAACCTCATATTTTAATGGCCTGTGCCTTGGTTCTTGGAACTAAAGTTGCTCACAGAGAATCAGTTGCCACCAGAGGAAATGAGACTACCACTGAAACAGATGTATGTTCCAGAGAAAAAGAGAATGGGAGGATGCCTAATGGCTAAGCCTGGCTCATGACCCAGGAAACACAGGAAAATAGAATGGGGAGGAGGGGCGACTTGGGCATGGACCATCAAAGCCATCATTTCCCTTTTATAACCTCAACACCAGCTCTGACATCAAACATCTCTGAAACAAGCAGGAGGCGAGCGGCCAGCTGGGCCTGTAAACACTTCAGGGGAGTCTGGGCTGCTCTGGGTGGGCGACACAGGCCTGTGGGCATCTCAGACACATGGAGAGCATGTGGAAGGATTTTCAGCCACCAATAGTAGGCAGAATCTGTGGCAGGGATGGAAACCCTGCAAGATCGCTGGCCTGCCCTTCAGATGCTTAGCTATGTGGGCGATGCACAGGAGTTTCAAAGGCTCATCAGCATCTGTCAAGCTAGCAGGTTAGTGCAATTCATGTAGAAAAGGGTTTAAATGTTCTCTAAACTCTGACCAAAGTCTGACCCTGATCTTGGCTTCAAACTCATCCCAATCTTGTCCTCAGATGGGCCTAAACATGGCCTTGGATATAGTTCTGAACCTGATCCCATCCTGACCTCTAATTTACAAGTAGTATCACACACCTACCCTAACCCTGCTGCTCTGGGATGTGTCACTTGTCACTAGGGCCTTAATGAGAGAGGAGGGACTGAGAGAGGAGAGCCCATCATGGTTTGATGTGGGGGGTGGGGGAATCACATAGTAACTCACCTATCTCCTCAATGGTGTACTCTTTATCCTGAAATGTCACTCGATCTGTCCGATACACAGGGGCCTTGACTCTGTGTTGCTGACAGAAGAGGTGGAGAAGCTGGGAAGGGCGGAGCTGGTCCCTCCACTGGTTCGGTCCAGAGCTGAAGCCCAAGTGCAAAGCAAAGATGAGATGTAGCACAGATCCTAGTGGTAGTGAACTTTGTACCCTCACACACAACAGCATCCACCCTTCACAGTGGATGCTCCATCATATTCTTCATCGCCCTCATTTTACAGTTGAAGAACTGAGGCTCACGAAAGAAAAGGTCATAATATGTGTGGAAATGGAATCTACATGTTTCCCATTTCCAGAGTTAGAGAAACAGATCCAAACAAGACTGGAGATGGTTAGAAGAAGAACTGTTCACACCTGAATTCTCCTGAGAGACTATCACAGAATTCCTTCCCAGGCCCAGCTGGAGCCCATTGTGCCCAACTGTCTGTCACCTTCCTTCTCTCCCTTCTTCCCATCCTCTCTCCAGGGGCCCAGTCCACTGCCTTAGAGAGCACTGGCTTATAACAATGTGATAAAAGAGCCAGATCTCTAGAGTCAGATAAGCAGACTCAAATCCTAATCCTCCATTTACGAACCATAACCTCTCTGAGTGGAGTGGAGACAATTTCCCCCACCCCTGCCCCATGTCAACCCCCACCCCCGCCACTGAGTTCAGAAGAGAATGTCTGGAAAGCGCTAAGTCCAGGCTGCATACAGCAGTATTCAGTAGACAGAATGGTTGGTTGTCGAGAAGCAGCCAGCCTTTAGCACATACACACAGTAGGTCTGTGGGAGTCCACAACGAGCCCCAAACTTAGACAGCAGCCTGTCCTCCAGATCAATGACTGTCTCCCCAATCTTCTCATCCTTGGAGAGAAGGTCGTAGTCATAGAGAGTGATCTTCAGGTCCTTCTCCAGAGGTAGAGTGCAGGTCAGCTCAAACATCCTGCAGGAGGGTAGAGGTCAGGACACTGCCAGCCCCTGATGTCACTGGACCCAGTAGGAAGACAAAGGAGCACCAGAGTGAGCTATCCCAGGGTGGCTACCCTCCTCAGATCACACCACCCACAGTGTAGCTGTATGCTGTGTGTGTATGCATGTGTACGTGGGGGTGGTGGTGTGGGGTACGTGTGTGTGAATAAAATAGAACAAAATGCTAGGACCAAGAGATGTAAAACTCCAGATACCAGAGCTCTGGAGTTTGCCTGCTGTCCAGACTTGGGCTACACATCCACTTCTGGTGCAGAAGGAAAGGAGGGTTTATGGAACGATTTCTTGGGAGAGAGCACCTATGGGGTCTGAACCTCAGCCTCTACAAGGTTCAAGATGGAGACAAAAAGGGTTCTAGGCTGGCAGACTCATACTGACATTCTTGTGCTCAAGGTCACTTAAGCAGCATACAGAAGCAGACAAGGGCCACATTTGGGAGAAACTGGATTCCTAGCAATGCCTGGGATGAGGAACACATGTGCATCTTGTGAAGAAGAGGAAACTCTTGCAAGGCCAGACTACAGCTGCTCTGAATCCTACCCTATGGGACCTCATAGGGTCCCAACAGCCAGAGATTGTGGAGTGAACTACCTGAGGACCCTCAAAGGCTGAGCAGTGGCTTGCTAAAGGGGTACAGCATCTACTCAATCACAGATGGCACATGTAATGATACTTTGCCACAACTTAAGCTCCTCTGGTCCTGGTCCTGGTCCTGGAGGGTTGCTGGCTAGCTAGAGGGCAGAGGAGCACACTCACTAAACAGGATATATGAGGCAGGAAGAGCTTGCTTCCCTCCTCACAGTCCCCTATGAAACACATGGCTCACTCAAAGTCCTGGCAACAAAGGTGCTTAGGGTGCCTTCAAGGTGCTCATACGCAGATCTGGTCATCCTAGCTGCAGCGCTAACACTAAGTTTATGACTTTTATAAAGTCAAAGTAGAGTGAAAGTGCTTCTGCACTGATCTGCAGGAGGCTCAAAATCCCAGGAACCAGCTTTGGGCTGTGATTCAGAGGAAATGGAGAATGGGAGCAGGAGGAGTGTTTTCTGCACTCTATCTCATTGCCACCTGCCCTAGGCCTTGACCATACTCACCCCTGTGTGAGAGAGGCCCATTACCAATACCCCATAGGCCTGGACCCGCCACTGAAACTTATCAAACAGAGCTACTTTCTCCCATCCTCCTTCTCCATCCTAAATCCTGGTTGGATAATGACTCAGTGCCACCTAGGACTGTTTCTCCTTCAAAAGCTGCCTTTTTCCAAGCTGACTACTGGCCTGCATTGTAGATAGAGTGACCTCAACTAACCAAACAGATACCCATGTTGGGATGTAATGTGTTGCTTGATATATTGGCACACCAGACCTCTTCTACAGGTGCCTGAGAAATCGCTGCCAGCCTCTTTTTTTGTTGTTGTTTTAAGAGCTCATAACCAAGAGCAACTCAGGCCCAGAACCCACTCTCACAGCAGGGGTATTGATTTTCTTCCTTTGTTTTTATATTTCCAGCAGTATTTCATTGTCTTGGGTCTCCATTCTTTCTGTAGATATCCACCACAGATGTATGTGGACACTGAAATAGTAACTGCTCAATGCAACTTGATAGATGGGACTAGATATGGAAAATATAAAAGACATTGGTGGAAACTGGTGAAGTCCTAATGAAGTCTAGGGTTCATTGATAATAATGTGCCAGGCAAATGGACCATAGTTATACAAGATGTTAACGGTGGAGAAAATTGGGGTAAGCCTATATGGGAACTCTGCATTGTCCTTGTATATTTTCTGTAAAATCTAAAATTATCCCCCAAAAGTTCACCAAATAAAACCCAAATAATGTATTTTCTGAGCGTCCATGGAGATTTCTGATCCTAGAGGTAAGGTGTGTTTAACTAAGAGGAACTGGGGCTATATTGATGTAGGAAAGCTCTAGGGAATGCACTTCTGCTTCTTATGACAGGGACCTCCCAGGGGCAGCCATCTCTACCCACTAGACTGTAGCATTTCTAGAGTGTCCCCTCCATCCCAAGACCAGACTACATCCCACTCACTTTCCAAATACAGGCTCCAGGGTACAGGGGATGTAATTATCCTGGTCACTCACTGACTTCTTCCCTATGGAGATCTTGATGTAAGGGTCACACTGGAGGAGGACACAGAAACACATGTGTGAAATCACTGTCCCAACGTGTCTTTGGGGCTTCTTGGGTCCCCTGTATCCCAAAGGGGTGAGGTGCCAGACCTGAGGAAACTTCAGTATAGACTGTGTCGGGTCTGGTTGGGAGTCCATCCTGCATACCATACCATAACAGTTGGCCAGACACAGGCTTCCAATCTCAGCTCCAGCAGTGGGGCTATATCAATACACACACACATTCCCTAGACCTTGCATGTGTGTTGGTATACCCCCAGCTCTTCTTTCCTAAGTCCTCCATACTTCTGACCCACGACCTCATTAAGAGAGGTTGATTAGACTAGGTCCCTATCCTCATACACATAATACATAGACAGTATTCTATATAGAAATTGTCTAGATGTGTGGGGAGGTCCTTTGTGACCTCTGCTTATCCAAATAGAAGAAAAGAGAGGTGGTCACCCTTTGTCAGCTAGCCAGCCAGCTTGGGCCTGTCTCCCAGATGATACCTATGAGTGACAGTAACCTTCAGCAGTCCTTCCTGAGCAGCTGGGGCCAGAGAGCACCCAGACTTAGCCTACCTCTAAGAATGCTTGAAAGATACAGGCCTGCTTACTAGCTACATCCTGGAGGCCATTATACCCTGTGATGGTAGGACTTCTCAGCCTTATAAAGCAGGGCTGTAGGCGGATGCTGGTGGCTCACGCCTATAATCCTAGTTACTCAGGAGGCTGAGATCTGAGAATTGTGGTTCAAAGCCAGCCTGGGCAGAAAAACCCCCATGAAACTTTTATCCCTAATTAAGCACCAGAAAACCAGAAGTGACGCTGTGGCTCAAGTGGTAGAGCACTAGCCTTGAGCAGAAGAGCTCAGGGACAGTGTTGAAGCCCCATGACCAAAAACAACAAAGCAGGGCTGGAGGAGGGGCACGTCACCGCAGGGGTAGGCTCTACCCACCATCACAAGGATACACACTAGACATGAACTCATATAATGAGAGAAGGAAGAACCCTGTTCTTGTCTGTGAACCCTCTTCTTGTCTTACCCCACTGCTACCTCTTTGTCTTCCTTTTTCCTCTTTCAAAATCTTCTCCATTCCCTCCCCATTACCTTTGTGTGATTCTAGAATCCTCCCTTCATTGAATCTCCCTCCTCTATTTCTGGCCAGGACTAGTGTGAGACAGCTGAGTCTCTTGCCTCAGACACAAAATTTCAGGGAAGGCTCCAAAATTCAGTAATCAAAACAAATAGTATTTTAAAAATCAAAATTGATGCCATTAATCCATGATGAACAAAATATCAAAATTCCAAACAAAGACAAGATGAGTATTCCTGGTCTCTCTTTTGCCTCTATCTCCATATGGATGGGCGTGGCAGTTACTAATCCTATCTTTTCCTTCTTCACTCCTCCCTACTCATCACTGAAATTCTACAAGTTCACTCCCAACCTGCACCTTCAACCTCATATCTTATACTTTACCCTGGTTCCACACATAAAGGAAGCAATTGTCTTTGAAAGTCTGGCCTATGCTTTGACTCCTTCATACAACTTTCCTTCTCCCCTTGAGTCTATCAAAACTCTGTGTATCCTTAAGAATCCTAGTCTTTCCTGGAAGTCTTCTCTATTTTTCCAAAGTCCTGTACTGACTTTGACCTTCTCTTACCTCTGGAGCACTTGATCCCTGACAAAACTCTGTCCAGATACATCTCAGCTCTGCATGTGTTCATCTGGTTTTCCCAGTTTACTGAAAGCTTCTGGGTCAGAAACTATGTCCAGATTTTACAAGTTTTTGTAGCTAGGTGTATTCTTCTAGGGGAACCAAAAGCTTCAGAAATATTACCTTCCCATTGGGGTCCTTGGGCTGGAGGCCAAATGCTCGAACAATATAGATTCGGACCAAGCACTCCTGGGGCCCCTGGGCAGCCAGCTGGTGGAACTGTCTTGGGGGCATGGGAATGGCTGGGTCTTCTGGGAGGGGATAAATTTTGAAAAGGCCCTAAAAAACAGAGGGTTTAACTTTCACTTTTATGATTGTCATCCACATGATAACCATATGGCAATCCATCTTTTTCTCTATGAAAAGTCACCACCATGAAGAACCATCCAGCAGAACACCATCCCATCGCCGTCATCAGAATCTGCAACAGCAGCAACATCACCACCTCCATTCCTCACATGGTCACGAATATCAACACAACCTCTCCCACTGTGCACTTACTGCAACGATACCACAATCTTATACGTCTGTACCGGGACATATCCTCAAAAGCTCACCTTAAACTCGCCAATGACAGACGGATCTTCTGTCTCTTCCTGAGTCTTGCCTCGGTAAAGCTTGAAGGTATTACAAAAATCAGACAGGCCTTCAAAAGCCTCCACATTCTCCAGCTGTGTGTCATAGACCTGTCACACATGGGAATAAGAAGAAGAGACAAGGGTCACTAAGGGAAGAAGAAACAGGAAAAGAAGGAAACAAGACAATGTCAGAGTGCAGAAAGAAAGAGAGGGACATAGAAGAGAGTGTTGTAAGCCAAAAATATATAAATGAACAAAAGCAGAGCTGGAAAGGTGGCAAGATGAGCCAAGAAGAAAAAGAGAGAAAAGAGAATGAGAACAAATGCCCAGGAGAAAGGAGTATGGGAAGACATTTGCCCAGCTCCTTAGGGAATAGGGTTTTTGAGTTAATCAAATTTTCTAGGACCTGGCGCAGGTGGCTCACACCTGTAATCCTAGCTACTCAGGAGGCTGAGATCTGAGGATTACGGTTCAAAGACAGCCCAGGCAGGAAAGTCCATGAGACTCTTATCAACAATTAACCACCAGAAAACTGGACGTGGCAGTGTGGCTCAAGTGGTAGAGTGCTCACCTTGAGCTGAAGAGCTCAGGGTTAGCGCCCAGACTCAGAGTTCAAGCCCCCTGACCAACAACAACAAAAAAATTAGGTACCTGAGAATCATATACAAAAGGGGTGTGTGTGTGTGTGTGTGTGTGTGTATGCTAGTACTATGGTTTGAATTCAGGGCCTCATACTCTCACTCAGTTTGCTTGTTTGCTTGCTTATAGTTGACACTCATCACTTGTGTCATATCTCTAGTCCAGCATTTTGCTGGTTCACTAGCCATGGAGTCTCACAGACTTTTCTGACCCAGCTGACCTCAAACTACAATTATTCTCTGATCAACGCCTCAAGATGACCAGAAATACAAGTAAGAGGTAGCATTATCTGACAGTGATGCATTTTTGCAGACTTAGTAGTTGAAACCTATAACCCTAGCTGCTTGGGAGGTAGAGTTCAAGGGACCACAGTTCAAGGCCAACCCAAGCACAAAAGTTTGTAACACTCCATCTCAACCAGTGGTTCACACTTGTTATTCCACGTACAGAGGAAACACAGTGGCTGAGAGCAATGACAAGCCTTCATGAACTCCAGAGACATGATGGAGTACAAGTCAAGAGGATACTAGCCCAGCCTGGCAAGGACATAAAATGAGACCTTACCTCAAAAAAATACCAATATAATTAGTCATTTTGAAAAAGTGGTGTGGATCAAGTGGGAGAGCCACCTACCTTCCTACCCAGCAAGCACAAGGCCAGGAGTTCAAACCCAAGTACTATCCCCCCAAAAGGCAGAAAAAAAAACATATATTGAGAGTGAGAAAGGTAGTCAGGACTCTTTATCTTTGAAATAAAATAACTTCACTGTTAACCTTTCCGGGTCAATTTTTCCTCATACACAGTAAGGTCTTTCAATATACATATACATGTATCCAGTGAAGTTTGATTAAGTGATGATGTTTGTTTTCTTTCACTGTTGGGTTGTCTTCCTCAGAGACTCCAGTTATACAAATGTTGGGTCTCATTTTCTTGACATATACATCTATTACTTTCTCATTGTTTTATAACTGTTTCTTGTTTCCCTTTTGCTTTGCTTACCTTTATCCTTTCTTCCCTCTGTGATGAAATGATATGGCCCTGTGTTTCCATGTGTCTATTCCACTCCACACATGTTCTAGTAACAGATTTCCCTCATTTTCCCTCCTGAGTGCCACCATCTGCACTCAGCTCGTCATCCTCAAGTCATTTCTTTTCTGCTCTGCATTCTGATGACGCCATTTCTAAAAAGTCTCATCTGTTCTGCTCCTTGGCAAAATTGTTATAGTGTGCATATGTCTTTTCCTACTGGTGAGTTTGATTTCTATTTTCCTTTCTTCGTATATGTGTATACACATATATATGTCATTTATGTTAATTTATTACTATATATGTAAATATTATATATTTGTTATTATATGTATATTTATTTGTTATTATATTTATATTTATTCTATATTTTTATAGATGAAATTTATATATATATATATATATATGACTTTTAAGTTAACACTGCATCTTTTTTTTGCTATTACTTCCTTAAATGAGCTTATTTCAGCTAGACTGCTGTTCCCTTCATTTCAACTATGGAAGCAGACTGCATTCTACATACAGGGCTGTCCATGAGACTCCTGTGTAACTCTTCCTTCTCAGCTTCTCTGAACCAAACCAGATCTAATAGATTTCCATCATCAACTTGAACTTGTCTCCAAAGGTCTTGTTTTGTAAAGAAGGGGATTAATATCCTATTTCCCAGTGCAAGAACTATATTTTAAAACTATGTATTATAAAAAACTTTCAAGCACACCAAAACAAAGGAAGCTAAGTACTGTTGGTTCATGCTTGTAATCCTAGCTACTTAGGAGGGTGAGAGCTGAGGATTATGATTCGAAACCAACCCAGGCAGAAAGTCCATGAGACTCTTTATCTCCAATTAACCCACAAAAAAAGCTGGAGGTAGAGCTGTGGTTCAGTGACAGAGCACCAGCTTTGAGAGAAAAAGCCAAGTAAGAGCATGAGGCCCTGAGTTCAAGCCCTAGTACCAGCAAAAAATAGAATAAAATAAAATATAAAGAGGATAACTAACAAACTCTTGTGAACCCAACACCTGTCTTCAGTAATTATCAGCATTCTTCCATTTGGAAGCCCATTTTGCTGAAGCTTTCTCAGACCTGTTACCCCTATGAGTTTCCATCAAGCCTCAGGAATCCTCTCTTCATTTACTGCCTCTACCCAATTTTACTTGTCCTTGAGCAGCCCTTACTTATATTTTGGAGACTGTGGCTTTTATTTGTTTCCAACTTTTCTGAAAAATGGATTTTGTGGGTTTGAATGATTTCCAAGAGAAAAGAGGAAAAATGCTGACTTATGCAGCCATGTTCATACTGGAAGTCCTAATAAAATACTTTGTAAATTTCCAACTAGTTGGACTTTTTGTTTAAACTTTTGTTATTAATTTCTCATTTTATTGCATTTTAATCTGTCTGGTATTATTTCTGCTTTTGGTAACTTATTGCTAAACTAATATATGATCAAATTTTGTATGTTCTATAAAGACCAGGAAAAACACATTCTCTGTTTATTTTTTTCTGTATTTTATAGCTACAACTTTATCTTGTTGTTCAGTTCTTTTATTGCCTTATTTATTGAATATTTGACAAAAAGAAAAATATTTAAAAAATCTTCGTCTTGAGCCAGGTGCCAGTGGCTCACGCCTGTAATCCTAGCTACTCAGGAGGCTGAGATCTGAAGATGGCGGTTCAAAGCCATCCAGAGCATGAGAGTCTGTGAAACTCTTATCTCCAATTAACCACTAAAAATGCGGAAAGTAGAGCTATGGCTCAAGTGATAGAGTACTACCCTTGTGTAAAAAAGATCAGGGACAGTGCCCAGGCCCTGAGTTCAAGCCCCATGACCAACACACACACACATACATACACACATACACACACACACACACACACACACACACACAAAATCACTTCATTTCAATAATTTTGTGCTTTTATTTGTGGAAGTTAATTAGTTTATGTACTCTTAGCTATATTTTTACTGGAAAAGAATTTTATCTTTTGTGTCACTTTAAGTTTCTTTTTTAATTTTTTAAATTATCTTGTAGTTGTACAAAGGGGGTTCAATTCAACATGTCAGTTCACTAGTACAAGGCATCTTGATCAATGTTGCCCCTTTCATAATTCTCCCTCATCTCCCCCAACCCCATTCATCCCCTCAATTTTCATAACCACTTTTGCTTGGAGTATTTCTAAGCTCTTTTCACTAAGGAGTATACAATTTATTTATATAAAATGATCTGTTTTGTTTCCTTTACTTTTTAGTTAAATTCCCTTTCCTTATATTTACACTTACTTGATTTTGTTTGTAAAACTGTTCTAAAGCATTGTTTGTCAACATTTTAATTTTTTAGCGATCCTAGGTTGTATTGTGCGTCTTTTTTTTTAATTGTGAAAATACTGTACAGAGGGGTTACAATTACATGGGCAAGAAAATGAGCACATTTCTTATCAAACATTGTAGCCTCCTCCTTTGTTTCCCCTTCCCATCCCTTCCCATCCTCCCCCCCACCCTCTACCCAATCCTCCTCACCCCCCACCAAAGTTGTAAAGTTCATTTTCGACATAACAACTTGTACATCTCATTGTTGCAATGGGTCCACCTGTATCCCTATTTAAACGATTTGTTTTTTCTCCCTTCCCCTCCAGAAATTATACCGACATCAAATATAGTGAAAGCAGAGGTTTACCATGGGGGAGGGACATACAAAGCAACAAAGAAATAATCTTATAAATGTGTTAGAAACAAT